GACTTTATCAAAACCAAACTAGAAATAGAAATTAAAAAAGACGAAATAAATAACATCTATACAATTGGCAAAGAAAATTCTACTAACAAACCAATCATTATAGAATTTATTTCATATTTAAAAAAAACCGAAGTACTCAGAAACTGCTCAAAACTAAAAGGTTTAAATTTAAATATTACTTTTACCAACCAACAAACGAAGGCTGATCAGGAAGTATCAAAAATACTAAGGAAACATCTGAAAATAGCCAAAGAGAACGACAAAGCTGCTAAAATCGTTGGAGAAGCTCTTATAAAAGAAGGCAAAAAATACACAATTGAAGAACTAGAACAACACAATAGTCAACAGGAACTAGTTCTCACCCACTATCCCCAAACGAGTACAAAACGTATTTCCAAAGAATTTGACAAGTTAAGTGAACAACTATCATCATCAATAAGCAAAGAAACAAAACTTATCCAATCGATTACGCAGGAAAAAACCAGGCCAGGACCCTCTACAAGATCCAAGGAAAAACCAAAAGAGGGATTAAATTGATTTTTCTCTCTCTCTCTCTCTCACACCTTTATTTTACATATTTTACATATTTTACATATTTTACATATTTTTCTATTTTTAACTACGTTCAATCTACTTATTATTATCATTATTATTACTATTTATTACTATTTAATATTTTATTTGTATAATTTAGGGCTGTTTTTTTTTTTTTTAAATTTGTTTTTTATATACTTTTTTAAATGCATGCGTTTTAGCTGAGTTATTAATTGTTTTAATTTCAAAATTTTATAACAAATGGACCCTTATATAAGAGACTTTTCTGAATCTGTCGATAAAACATACTTCTTGTACAATACTTTCGAGTGCAGTGAAGTACTCAAGATAAACTCAGGGAAAAATAGCTTCTCATTGTTTCACACAAACATTAGAAGTATTTCAAAAAATTTTGATTATCTAAATGTCTACCTAAGCAGTTTTGAAGTTGATTTTGATTGTATTGTTCTTTCTGAAACTTGGCATATTGATGACACTTCCTTGTATAAGATCCCCGGGTATACCCTTACATATAATGAAGGACACTACAACCAAAATGACGGTGTTATTATTTATATTAAAAACTATTATAATTATATTTACAAAACTTTTCACTTTAACCACTCAAAATTAATGCAAGTAACTTTAAATATTAACACTAAACTAGTAAAAATATCATGTATCTATAGGTCACCCTCAACAGATGTTAAGGAATTTTTGCGGGAATTACAGGTTTATCTTGATACTAATACCGAAAATGCGGACGACTATCATATTTTTACTGGGGATGTTAACATTGATATATTAAAAAATAATACTGACGTTTCTAATTACTTCGACACAATGAGTGAGTTTAATTTTAAATCTACAATTAATATATCTACCAGGGAGACAGCCTGTCTCGATCACATTTTTTTGAAAAGTAAAGATAATCCCAACGATTCTATATTACCTTTGGTTGTTAATTCGACAATAACGGACCATCGACCAACTATCCTACAAATTTCAAACATAGGTAAGGTAGAAAATATAAACAACACGCAAAGCAAAAATCATATATTCAGCATAAATTATGAAAAACTTAATACCCTTCTGCAGGAAACATCTTGGGAGGAAATATATGCCAATGATAGCGTTGAAAACGCTACAAACGATTTTATTAGCTTACTTAAAACCAAAATTAAATTATGTACGAATGTCACTCTTTTAAATCATAAAAAACGAAAAAGAAAACCTTGGATAACTAAAGCCCTTGTTAAATCAATTAATACTAAAAATGAAATGCAAACAAAACTCGCAAAATTTCCGAATAATATTGAATTGAAAAGAACTTATGTAAGGTACAAAAATTCTTTAACCAATCTAATTCGTGAAACAAAAAATAGTTATTACAAACAAAGGATAAACGAAAACAGACATAATTCAAAAAATTTGTGGAACACAATTAGCGAAATAACTTGCAACAAAAATAAAAAAGAAATTAAAACAATTGTTAAAGATAATAAATTAATCCATGACCCGTTTAAAATTTCCAACATTTTTAATGACCACTTCACAGATATTGGTGAAAATTTAGCTTTAAAAATAAAGCAAAATAAAAACTATAATCCTACTATGCGCCCAAAGCAAACAAACTCCCTATTTATGGAACCAACAAACATAAAAGAAATTCAAAACATTATAAATGAATTAAAAAATAAAAAATCAGCAGGGATAGATGAAATAAAGACGGAAACTATAAAAAAAATAAGTTTAAACATCATCTCTCCCCTTACATACATAATTAACAAAATACTGGAAACTGGAAATTGTCCCACAGCATTCAAAAAATCTATTATCGTACCGATTTTTAAAAATGGTAATCCAGACGAAATCATAAATTATAGACCAATATCTCTAATTACATGCCTGGCTAAAGTTTTTGAAAAGGTGATAAAAACCAGACTGGATAAGTACCTTGCAAAGTACAATCTCATATCTCCATCACAATTTGGTTTTCGAGCTAAAAAATCAACGCAAGACGCGATTAACTTATTAACCAAAGATATTTATAGTAGCTTGGACGAGGGAAGTCAATCATTATGTATATTTCTAGACCTAGCTAAGGCGTTCGATACTGTTAGCCACAAAATACTTTTAAAGATCCTATTTAACATTGGCATTAGAGGAACTCCATATTTACTTTTTGAAAGTTACTTAAATAATAGGCAACAATGTGTAAAAATTAAAAACTCTTTTAGCGATTTTAGGATGATTAAATATGGGGTTCCTCAAGGAACTGTACTAGGACCTATTTTATTTACTATATATATGGATGGACTTTTTTCAGTTCCAAGTGCCGCAAACGTAATAAGTTTCGCGGATGACACGGCACTATTTTACAAGGCAAATGGCTGGGAAAACCTTAAAAGTACAGTGGAAAATGATTTTGTAAATATTAAAAACTGGTTTGATGGTATGCTTCTTTCTATAAACTATAGTAAAACATGTTATCTGACATTTACATGTCATAATTATAACCTCCCTATATATAACGAAATAAATATTAAAGAATCCGATCATAAAATTAAAAAAGAAAGTAAAATTAAGTATTTAGGAATCGTAATTGATCAACACCTAAAATGGGACGCGCATATCCAACATGTCTTAAAAAAAATTCGCGTTATAATGTACAAATTCAAATTTTTTAAACAAATACTGGCCTATGCTGATTTAAAGGTTTTATATCATGCCCTTGTGGAAAGCCATTTGGCATATGGAATTATTGGTTGGGGTGGTATTTTTGATGTACATCTGGAACCCCTACAAACAGCACAAAAGAGACTACTAAAAATAATGCTTGGTAAAGACATGACTTACTCTTCCAACTTACTTTTTCTTGACACGAAAATACTAAGTATCAAAAAATTATATGTGTTTAACGTAGGTCAATATTATTATAAAACCAAAGAAAGCATTCCTGTACTAGAACATCCGTATGAAACCCGTCGTACCAATAAATATATTTTACCAAAGATGAAAAGAGTAATAGGACAAAGATCTGCCTCTTTTTTAGGTCCAAAATGTCTGAACTACATCTCAAATAATGTTTCAAAATTTAATAACAATAATTTTATTCCCTTTAAGAAACAGTTAAAGGATTTCTTGATTAGTGTCCCTGAGAGTTCTATCAATGAACTAATCAATAATCGCAGCTAAAACGCAATGTTGTCTTTCAGGTGCAACTATAATTTATATATGTATTATCGTTAATTGTTCTATTGTACATAGTTATAGTTATATTGATGTATTTGTATTTTTTATTGATATATTTTATATTTTATGTTTTTCCCCAGACAAGTTTTTAAACTTACGGGGCCATTGTATATTTATTTTACCTTTTGTTTTATTATTAAATATTATATTGTAGATAAGTTAATGGTGAAATAAATATTATTATTATTATTATTATTATTTACTTTATTTAATTTATTGTTCAAACGAATTACTGGTAATTTTTAATGTTCATTATGTTATGATGAACATCCAAAAAGGCGTGTAATCTCTACTTCTGACAACGTTGGAAGCCGTGTTTCTTTCGACGGTGTTTAGAATGTGAAACTATGCTTTACTCGCTTTTTAAACGTAAACAAATCCGTCCATTTGTTTTGGTGGTCTGTTATTTAAAATGGTATAAAACTAGTAATATTTGGATTTTTTAAATAAAATTTTAAATTAACTAAAAACTAACTTTTTTTCGCAAACTTCAATTTAAATTCTGTTTGTGCCGAACTTGTCTATTTAATGTCATTATAAACTATTATAAATTTGGCGTGGGTCCCATTTCTAATAACTGAGATATTGGTATACCCAAAATCCACCACCCGCCACTGCTCCATAACGTCAGGTTTTTTGGAAATTTTAACAAAACCTGTTATAAGTGTATGTGATGTAAGTAATATAACCTTAACTATACAAAAAATGCGGGTTTTTCACTTTTGCTTTAGAATGTCTTGAAAACCTGATGTTATGGAGCTCGAGAGCACGCTGGACTGAAATGGCAAAAAATTGGCCAAAAAAAACTACCAAAAACAATTTAAAATATCATTTTGAAATGTATATTTATAAACTTTTAACACAAGTTTTGTGTTAATAACCTCAATTCTGTAAAAAAATACATTTAATTGTTTTAGTATACTAAAACAATTAAATGTATAGCTATAGCGGCGAAAATATACTGGTTTAACCTACAGATATAGCACAAACAATACGTAATTAAATAGATTTGATACGCTGGGATCTTAGTTATAAAAAAAGTATATTTTAAATTTTAAAACTAGGTATTTATTAACACTAAAGATAATTGAGGTAAAAGGTAAAATAAAAAAAGCATATTTTCCAGACTTTAAATGAAATATACAATTTTAAAATTAAAAAAAAATATATAAAAAAAAAGTTTGTTTTTGTTCATTGTAATTAATACATACCGAATGAATTTTCTTAGCTGTATCATGAATGGATAGGATGTGGGTGATGTTGTGTTTGGCTAGTTGCGAAGAATCTTTTGAATCCCGGTAATTCCCCACATAGAGGCCGGGTAAAACCTGAAATAAAAGTAAAAAACTTTTAAAATTAAATTGAAAAACTGTGTCCTGATTAGAACATTTGAATGATGAATTAAAACAGCTTTTAATTTGTTTATATTGAGCAGCATTAATCCAAGGGTTCCGATTATGAGGGGGATTTTTAATTAAAATGCCTATTTCAAAGATTTTGCCGACTTAAAAATGCATATTTATTAGACGGCATTTACAAAATCATCAAACGAACGATAACGATTCAAAGAAAACAGCCGAGTTCTAAAAAATCATTGCAAATTGTCTTTTTTTTATATTTTATATATATTCCCGATTTTCAATCAAAAAGACCCCAAACTTGCGGAATAATCCTTATACTTACGAGACTTTTCTGAAAATTCTTTTTCTTACTACCTCGACTCAAAATACGTTGTTTCGTCCCCGATTTCACGGCAGAAAGTTTACGTTTCTTGCATTGGTCAAGCTATACGCGCACACTCTAATAGCGGGAGTAAAAATTTTTTAGTCGTGTGCTTATCATTCAAATTTCGTACTGCCAACATGAGAAACACAAAAATATGACAGTTTTAAACCATAATTTTGCAATTATAACAACAAATAAACAATTTATGTTTTTACTTTTTTACTTTTTATGTTGTTTTAAGTGTTTAATGGTACTTTTATTTGTTATAAAGTAGAAATTTGTTAATTAAAATACAACGTTTTATTTTTACTGTATTGGCACCGCTGAATTCACGGCCTACTGTTATTTATTTATCAAGCTCTTCAAATGGAGATGGCTACATAAATACACATTTAATTTTTTCCCGTATTTTCGGCCGGGTTGTATTTTCGGCCGAGGTAGTAAGAAAAATAGAAGCCGAGGGCATCATGGCGCGCAGTGCAGGAATCTCACACTTTCTGCCCTTGTAGTGTAATATACTATTTCTTACTACCTCGACTGAAAATACGTTGTTTCTTCCCCGATTTTACGGCAGAAAGTTTACGTTTCTTGCATTGGTCAAGCTATACCCGCACACTGTATAATAGCGGGAGTAAAAATTTTTTAGTCGTGTGCTCAACATATGCAACTCTGATTACGACACTAATATAACCTCAACAGTTGGGCAGGCATCAATATATTTCGATATACACATTTAATTTTTTCCCGTATTTTCGGCCGGGTTGTATTTTCGGCCGAGGTAGTAAGAAAAATAGTATACACTACACGGGCAGAAAGTGTGAGAGCCCTGAACTGCGCAGTGCAGAAATCTCACACTTTCTGCCCTTGTAGTGTAATATACTATTTTTCTTCTTTAACATTAACAGCCGCTTATTGTAAATAAGTAAATTAAGGATGGCATGGCGAATCGATTTTGACATTAACTGTCAAAGCAATGACTTTGATACCAACTATCTAAAGTAAAATTCGACCAAATTAAATTTAAGGTATAAAATTAATTTTTTTTATAGAATTTTTGCAAAATAGATAAAATAGCATAAAGAACTCATGTCATAAGACCTTTTGTCGCACTCGTCCATTACAAAACTCGCTCCTTCGTCGCTCGTTTTATAAATTGTCCACGTGCGACAACACGACGTCTAATGACATTAGTTCTTTAATATACTAATTTTGCATGACACGGTGTTTCCGCAATTTTTGAATTAAATTAGTTTTAACTATCTAAATAAATGATTTCCATTAATTTTCAAAAAAGTAATTTTTGCAAGCTAATGAAGCACATATCGTTTATGAAATTTGTATAAATTTAAAGAAATGTTATTGGTTTTAACACAAGGATACTTGAGACATCTGGTGAAAAAGCGTGATGTATAGACTCCCAATGGTGAGCAAAGCTTTGTTGAGACGTTATGTTTTTTTCCGTTTTAAAATTTTTTTTTTCAATAATATCTAATATATTTATATAAAATAAGGCATTAAAAACATTATAATATGTTGCATAATATGGACTACAAAAACCATCAATTATGCACAAATAAGTCGATATATGCTTAAATATAAGCTTAAAACTTCTAAAATATGCACGGTAAATACAAAAAGGGTCAGCTACACTCACAGGCAAAATAATCGATCCACACAAATTTTCGATGAATTTCAATCGCAAATAACTTTTTTATTTGATTTCGGATTTAAACAAATATGAAAGAATATTGTAGATAAATTAATGTAGAATCGCTCACATATAAAAATTACTAAAAAATATACGTACGTTTATAATATACAGGTTTAAACAAAAAGATGTTTTTTACCATAAGTTTAAGACACTCTAGAGCTGTAGAGTGGCAAAACCTTATATTGTTCTAAATTAAGTTTTAATTATCAAGTCACATCTATTTTTAACAGTTTTGTTTTTGGTTCACCTTAATATATTTATTTTTGTGGAAAATATGGATTTTTAAAAAAAAAACATTGCAATTTCCAATATTTTTCCTGTATGAAGAACTAAGGTTGTTATGGTCCATCCATAGCCTATGGAGGATGACAGTGACAGTTTTGTTGAATCATCCCATACTTGGGCATGTCATATACAGCTTTCAAAAGCTATCAAATTTTTTTTTGTAAATTAATGTGTTAATTTTGAGGTGTCTTCTTACTTTTAAAAATGTCTCCGACTGATGTTGCCCTTTGTACTTTACTTCTTGTGCCGTTTAAAACACTGTAACGCGCCAAGTAATACTGTGAGCGTCCATCCTGGATTAAATTAATGGCTCTGACAACATCATTTTTTAAAGTAAGAAGACACCTCAAAATTTAAACATTAATTTGCAAAAAACAATTTGATAGCTTTTGAAAGACGTGTATGCCATGTATGGGATGATTCAACAAAACTGTCACTGTCATTCTCCATAGCCTATGGATGGACCAAAGCAACCTTAGTTCTTCATACAGAAAATATTGGAAATTGCAATGTTTTTTAAAAAAATCCATATTTTCCACAAAAATAAATATATCGAGGTGAACCAAAAACAAAACTGTTAAGAATAGATGTGACTTGATAAATAAAACTTAATTTAGAACAATATACGGTTTTGCCACGTACGTCTATTTTTTAGTAATTTTTTAAAACGTGAGCGATTGTCCATTAATTTATCTACAATATTCTTTAATATTCGTTTTAATTCGACATCAAATAAAAAAGTTATTTGCGATTGAAATTCATCGAAAATTTGTGTGGATCGATTATTTTGCCTGTGAGTGTATGAGTATGAGTATGGGAACGTATGGCAGGCCCCAGATATATTATCATCCACTGATCTCCCGGGGTTATTTTACCCCCTTTCCGTTCTCTTGCGTATCCCGCCAAATCACAGCATTACCTGTGTTTGTTGGATCCGAAGTTTTTACGCCGGCTGGTAGATCCATTCTAGGAGTTCGTGGATGACAGTGTCAAAGGTTAAGGCCGCTCCCGGGATTTTTGTCAGCCGGGTCGGGCCATACGTCCAGTTTAGGAAGGGTTTTTGGAGGACATTGAACTGACCCAAAACTAAGTACAATCCGGAATCCTCCTGAACCTAGGCCTTAGTAGTACCCCCATTCAATTCTTGAATGGGGGGTGGGTATGTTAGTTATTTGCTTACTCCTATCTTTGTTGGTTTACCTCCGGTTCGTCAGTTTCTGTGTCCGTCTCCGGGTCGGCATGTGCCCAGTATTTTAGTTGTGCCACCCTGACACGTTTGGTGATTGTTTTTCCTTCTAGGAGGACTCTGGACGATATCTTGTCAGTACGCCCCTGTTCGTGATGTATTTCGATTGCGACGTTAAATATGTCCGATGTTGCTATTGTTTCCAAACCCAGCCAGAAGCCGTTTTGTGCGTGGTCCTTTAGGTACGCCTCTGTTTTACGTTCCCAGTCGATATTATGCGCGTAGCGGTGGGGTTGGTCAAGGATCGCATCCTGTAAGTATGGGCTGTATGTCTCAATGTGTGTTCGTAAGTGGTTATTTAGTCTTTGTCTTAATGCGTATGTACTTGTTGACCCAGTCAGGCTATTATCTAGTTGATGAGCCAAGCTGGCCACTAAGCAATTTCCGTCGGATGGAATTTTAATTATTCCCACCGAATGATCAATCGTGTTTACTATTTCTATGTTTGTTATGGTTTGTGTTTATTTATTATTTATGGTTTGGCGTTTATTTATGGTATTAGTCGAGTGTTTATTTGGGGGATGGAGCTAATGTCTTATCTGCCTTTTCTGTTTATTATTTTGCCTGTGAGTGTATTATAGATAAAATATTTATTTGAACGAAAATTATAATTATAAAATTACAATTTTATCAAATAATTTATTAGCATACTGCGTTGCCAAATCGCGGTTAAAAATACGTACAAACAAGTATGTAGTTTTTAGTAACTTTTTAGGGAAGCGATATGAAAAATAACTCAATTAGTTCTGCAAAAACATAAATAAAAAAATATAACTTTATTTAGCAATACACATATACACAACATTAAATAAAATGTTAACAAATTTAATTTACTAGTCAACAAAACAATTTTGCAAAAATGGCGAATGCACCGGGATTAATTTCGGCAATATCGCGTTAGATCTAAAATAAAATGGGCGAAGGTTACATTTCAGTAAATGTTTACAAAAACTAGCTAGTAAAAGTGTGCTTTTAGTAGTAAATGCGTACATTTACTAGGGAATGCATACTTTTACTACAAGCATTACGTAAAAGTATGTAACTAGCTTGTGTATATGTTACCGGCAAAGTAAAAAAATCCGGCAATGTGCGAAATGCCTAGATACTCTGCAAACAGACCAATTTACCAGACATTGTGCAAAATCACTACCATTTTTGGAAATCTGCGAATTTACTACGCTGTTTAAGGCAATCTGCAAAATGTCTGATGCGATAGTCAATCCAGGGATTAAAGGTTTTTGCTTCCCACATTGACTAGGCAGTGTGCGCAACACCAATTTACAACACAAATGTAAAATTAAAAAACTGAATTTCGTTTTTAGAAAAGAAAAACTACAAACAAAAATTAAATTATTTATATA